TATAAGAATTACTTAAAGCTGGATAGAACATAGTCTGGTCTGCATATTTGATAAAATTGAAACAGATATAGAAGCCCAAGCTCAAGATTATAATGAGATTGGAAGGAATGGCACATCAGAGTTGGCAAAACTAGGATATATGGCTTCACAATAAGAGCAATGTAGACATTGGTCATGGGGCCCAAGTACTTTAGCCATTAGGTCTTTGTCTGCCAACCACAAAGGACAAAGGAAAACAACTTTTATAGTTCTCTAAATCTAAATCCAGATAGTCCCAAAGGATCAGAGAATGTGGATGTAAGCCAAACCACAAGAAATTAAAGGTTATATAAATTTATCTAGATGCACAATGTAGGGACAGCTTTGAACAAAAGAGGAACCAGAGCACCTAGCAAAATTGGAAGGCTTTAAGCTGGGCTGGGGAACCCCACACAAAGCAAAGTCACAGAACTGTATCAAACTGGCCAGCAACAGGAAAGTAGCAGCACTGGGAAAACACAAAAAAGTTACAGCTGAAAGAGAATATCACCTGTCTCTTCCTCCACCCCCACCAATTCCATGCACAGTAAAAGTTTAACCTAGAAGCACCCATGCTGTTATTGATAAGGGCAAGTGAGAACATTTTCACAAGAAATGCTGAAAAAGGGAGGCATTTTTATGTGTAGCTGATAATGTTGGCCAAAACATATATGTAGTTCTCTTATGTGAGCTAAAATTTAGGTCTTTGCCCGATGGATAGTTTGAACCAATAAAGAGGCATGCAGCCATAAAATCATGTAGAAATGTGGAGTTTTGTCCTAAAATAGCAGGTTCCTGATTTCATCATTCACTATCCAAAATATGTGACTGATTTTTTTAGCCATACACCATAAACTTTTTTGTCATAAATAAATTTAAAAGAAGTGTGGGTGTCTTTGCCTGGATTGGGACCAATTCGAACTTTTCCAAAATGATCTCATAGCTTATAAACCCTCAGTCTGTGTAAACCTGAAGCATATTAGTATAAAAGATAACTTTTTCATGTGAAACATTTGATCACACCTTTTGACATAGGACTCACTCTGTTCACGTTTCACTAGATCTCTCTCATGAGTGTGAAAACTTCCTAAGGATAGAAAATGCTGTAGCTTGCTTTTTGTCATCTACATTTAAAAAAAATAAAAATCATAGCTAATACTACGACACTATAATATAACACTATACTATAACACTATCATAGCTACAAGAAAACAGGGATAAATGGGTGTTGTTTTCTTTTTATCTTTTCCCCAAAACTGTGCCTTTTACAGATGTTCTGCTTATAGAAGCTCCCGTAGATTTATGAACCAATGGGAATGGTGTTTTCATATGTCAGTTTGACATAACATCTTCACTGGATGGGGTCTATTATTCTGATCCAGGAAAAATTGGGAATAATAATGACCACCAGTTTGGGATTATCATGAAATCATGCATACATAAAAAGGATTATAAAACTAAGTGAAAATTAGCATGTGAGGTTCTCCCCCTCCCCTTCCATTTTTAAGATAGAACTGGGCAGAGTAGGTTCAAGTCTACTCTGGTCTGTGGAAGCTAACTAAATGGTTTCAGGCTCATCACTCTCTCTCAACCAACCTCTTGGGAAAAATGGAGGGGAAATGTTGCCTTTTGCTCCTGGAAAGAAGATGGGATAGAACTCTAATATAATATCTAACATATTCAGTGCATGTGTCTGCTTATTACTGTTATTGTTCTCTTCCTGTATAGAACATACAGTTCTGGTATTAAATGGCAGAGGGAACAAAGGCCATATTGCTTCATCAGTTTGGCTCTGTATCTTTGCATATACTTGCAAAGTTATTTACAAAGTTTAGTCAAGTAAGGGTTTTTCTATAGCAGGTAATTGGCCTTCTCATGCTTTCCCAAGGGCTTAATTTGAAGATTGTGGGAAAGGTCCCAAGTCTCACTGAGGGCCTCACTGAGGCTGCCCAACTGTTATTCCCAATTATGTGATGTGTGAAGGAAGAAAATGAGACTTGATTTAGACCCAAGCTGATTGCAGCACAGCCAGCAACTAGAAATAGGTTCAGAAAGCAAAGCAAAACAAAAACAGCTCATCTTAGTTGATTGGCAACAAGTTTCTCAGTAAATCTACCTTTTGGTTTGTAGTTCATGTTTTCCAGTAGATGTTTCAGTGTAAAGACTGGGCTCATGTAATACACCATCTTTTAAGTCTTTTGTTTAACTATGATTTACTGAATAGTGTTGTGGCATATTTTTCTGATATTTTAATATCCTACTATTTTAATCTC